CCTCGAGGAGTGAAACATCGGATGATTATATATTTGTTTTTCGCGTCACCTGTTTATGAATAAAGGAGCCCGCGGCAAAAGCAATAAGAGATTACACAAAAAAGAACTAATGCAACATAGTGTCAGGCCGAAGCTGATGATGGTATAGTATGAACCATTAATATCTCACTCAAATAACCTTACCAATCATATTTCCAAACGCCACTTTTTATAAGACCATCAGCGTAGCGCTCAGTGTGCCCTATAAGGGTCAATGACACATCCACGTGAACAAACATGCAACACAAAGAGATGCGAAAAAAGAACGCACCTCAAACACTGGTCACTAGTGGCTTACACCAGGATCCGGACTTGGAAACAAGCGTACACTTAGTGCTGATGCGATAGCAGGCTAAAAAGGCTAGGTGTAGTTCTTCCAATGAATCTGGGTCTAAGGGCCACAGGATCCCAAGTATAGACACACGGTGACACGAAGGAGAAGACAAGCATTGTGGCATTTGATTTCTCGACTGATTATTTCGAATGTTTGCCCGGGTGGCTGTATCGGGCTCGGAGATGCCGAACACTATATACGGACCTTCCTACTTGGTTTATTCGACTAGTGTTTACGATGTGCCCCCATCCTGAGACGCGCTCTGGATCCACAGTATCTGGAGACTTGGAAGTTCCCGCGCGGAACATGTAGGTACCCAGCAGAAATGGGGCAACCTTCTAGAACGATTTGCTCTTCTAGAAGGCTAATACATGCAGCCTGCAAGGGATATCATAGTGGAATTCCAGGGCAAAGAATAAGCAAGGTCAAATCAAAAAAGTTACCAATGCCATGAGATGCCCAGCTGGTGATCCAAGTGCCCACACAAAGTCTACCATATAGCCCCTGAAAGGCACTAAAACGGAGAAAGGGGCAAGGCAAATTGGTTCGCAGGGCGCATGTCATACGCAAAAGCTTCGGTGGATACAAAAGTTCAGATTCCCGAGTCTTGGGGGCCGAGACGCGCAAATTGACATTTCTGACAACTGACCACGCGGAACACGAGCACGTGCGTCTTATCATCAAATCTAACCATGCAGCACCAAGCATTAGAGAAGCTCACTTGGCGACGCCTCTCGCCGGGGCGCCTATTGCTTGACAGGCTTTGAGATTGCTTAGATTGCTTGGGCTGATCTGAGGGATCCAAGCAAGCTTTAGCCAAGATTCTGGAAAGTCTTGATGCAGCCATGATCGCATGTATCGAGTTCAGAGGCGTTTCGGTCCTAGATGTTCGATAGTGCACATCTTTAGATCCAATTGAAGCCAATTTCGTCGAGTAATAGGTCGTCGACGATAGTATGATCCCATGCCTAGTAGAATATACCGGATATATCGGAATGTAGGACGACTGTGACACGCAACGTGATAACACGTGTTGATGGTAGGTTCAGATGGTTGAGGGAAGGTGCGGAGATATGGGTTGCACATGGTCAAATACTGGACGCTGATTGGTCGAAGATCTGCATGGACGATGCCGGGGTTGTCAACTAGCGTGGAACTTCCCCTACGTCAATATTCAATCCAGACACTCGCCCGTTTTGGGAATATCCAAATGAAAGTCATTTCTGGAAGAGAATGTTTTTACCTATTGTAGGTATTGGGGCTAATTGCCTCAAGTCTGCACGTATGTCAATGCAAAGCAAATAAAATATTGGGTCCGAGATGACCGGCTCCGGGAATAGGTATGGATTAAGGGCCGTTGCCACTTTTCCCGAGGTATCCCATTGGCATTGCATTGGCATACATTGGCATTACATTGGCATTGGATTTATCGAAGAATTGATATATTCTAATAATAAATTCTGTACAGAGTACATTACAGATACTTTCTACAATTACAATTCTATTGTAAATACTCCGTTCATATATAAATTGTAGGAGTAATTATTATTTTAAAATGTCGAGAATAAAAATTATCGCCCCGCGAAAGTTTGGGAAGATCTGCCATGAACCGCAGGCGGTGGCGATCTAACTCCAGATTCTGCCCCCACGTGCATAGTTTATTGGTTGCCGGCAGCTCCATGTAAGATCCATCTGACCCACACTTCTCCACTAAAATTCGAAATTCTGCTTCCGGAGCCAAAACCAGCAAGAGGAGACCCATAGCTACATCCAAGAGATGGCGTCCCCCAGAAGGGCCCTGACCCCATAGAGTGGTTCTTGCCTTGACTTTTTTCTTTCTTTTTTTGGTCTTCTCTTTAAACCTTTTTTTTTTTTTTTTTTTGGGTGGAGCCGCCACTTTAATATGCCGTTGCATGGTCCGACTCTGATTCTCTCACTTCTTCCCATCTACCTTTCCAATACTTAAAGAAGTCCCTCGCCACTTTCTTGGGTTCAAGTCAACTCACCTTCCCCAACCGTCGTGGTCACTTTGACTTCTCTTCCCCCCGCAATTGAACCTGTTACTAGGACTTTGCTTTGCTCACGCGACACTTCGGTATCTCCCACGATGACCGACTTTGGTCCTCGTGCCCCTCATGGGCCCGACATGTCGGGAGACCACAACCCACTGGAGGACATGGACATCAATGAGAAGGGTGCTTTCGATTCTCTCATTCGTCCCGATGACAGCTACACCCCCGAGGGTACCTACTGGGCTGATCTCCCACTCTGGAAGAAGATCACATTCGTCACCTCCTCCAACAACCAGGAGGCAAAGAAAGAGCTGAACGACATCTGGGTCATGATGAAGAAGGACCCTCTCTCGCCTATCTCCTACTACTTCCGCAACATGGTCCTTCCGGGTGCTGGTCTCGGTCTGGAGGGTTACGTGCTCTTCTCCATCGGCAACATCAAGCCTCTGTTCCAAAAGACCTTCCCTGATTGCTGGGAGCACCACACAATCTGTAGCCAGCAGTGGATCTACGCCATCGACTACCTCGAGATCATCGGTATTATCGTGGGTCAGATCCTGGTTGGAATCTTGGGTGACTGGTAAGTTGCAATCGGACTACCCGTGGGAATTTAAGAGATACTAACGTGGGACTAGGCTTGGCCGTCGCTGGGGTTTGATTCAGGACGCCGTTATCATGCTTCTCGGTCTTGTCATGTTGACTGCCGCCTGGGGTGTGACCCAGAATGGCTGGGTTATCTGCTACGCTTGGTGTCTCTTCATCTACGGTATCGGTGTTGGTGGCGAGTACCCCATGACTGCTACCAGCGGTATGGAAAACGCTGTCGGTTCTGGAAAGGTCTCCACCAAAGACGATCGCTTGCACCGTGGTCGCAAGGTCACCAGTGCCTTCCTGATGCAGGGCTGGGGTCAGTTCTTCAATCAGGTTCTGCTCATCATTCTCTTGCTCTGCTTCCACCACGGTAGTGGCAACAACCCTTACTCCGCCGTCGCTGTCCAGTGGACCTACCGAGTTTCCTTCGCCCTTCCCGCCGTCGGTACTTTGTGGCTTGTGTACTACCGTGCCTACCACATGAAGGCTGCTAGCAAGCAACTTACCGCTGCCAAGAAGAAGGCTTCCGTCACTGGTTATGATGCCCAGTCTTTGAAGCTGACCTTCAAGTACTTCGGATTCCGGATGTTCGCAACTGCTGGTGGCTGGTTCGCCAACGATGTCTTCTTCTACGGCAACAAGCTCTTCCAGAGTGAGTTCATCAAGGTGATCAGTCCCGCATCCGAGTCTGTCATGCCTACCTGGCTGTGGAACTTGGTCAATGTCGGTGTCTCTCTGTGCGGATACTACTTGGCCTCTTTCCTGATCGACAACAAGCTGTACGGTCGCAAGTGGATGCAGATCATTGGTTTCATGCTCTGCTTCGTTCTGTTCATCGTCCCTGCTTTCAACTTCGAATACTACCGCCGCCCCGAGAACATCAAGTCCTTCCAGACTATGTACTTCCTCAGCTCCTTCTTCAACCAGTTCGGTCCCAACTCGGTCTCCTTCCTGGTCGCTGCTGAGGTGTTCCCCACACCCATTCGTGCCTCCGCTCACGGTATGTCCGCTGCCTGGGGTAAGGCTGGTGCGCTTCTCGCTGCCGTCCTGTACAACTACATCGATACCCAGACCAAGTTCTACGTTGTGCCTTGGTTCGGTCTGGCCGGTGCTGTGATCACCGCGTTCTTCCTTCCCGACACCACTGGTCTGGACTTGAAGGAGCAGGAGCGCCGATGGCAATACCTCCGCTCGGGTCGCGAGGAAGACTACCACGGCCCTGCCGTGCACCCCAAGCACCTCTCATGGTACGAGCGCTACGTCCTGCGCAAGAGCCGCTACTACGATGCCGAACTCGACTACCAACAGAAGGTCGAGGAGTACCGCATCGAGTGGGAGTCCGCAATGGCCGCCAAGTCCGCTGAAAAGGAGGCTGCTGATGCCATGGATACCGACGACTCGCTTCTCGAGGGCCACGTTCACACCTACTTCCACCGGACCAGCCCTATGTTCAAGGGCATGGAGAAGAACGTGTCGGCTAAGCAGGATACCTTTACCTTGCCTCCACCTGCGGAGAGCGAGGCTGAAGATTCTTTCTCTAATGAGAAGCAGTAAGCGACTGTTTGCTCGGTCCTCGGGTTATTGCCTGTGATGTGACCATGACCCAAATTCCTTTTTAAGCTAGCTTTGAATAATTCTTTTTCTTTTCATTTTTCACTCTTTTTTTTTTTAAAAAAAAGCTTATCATTGCATATACACACAAGTCGCTTTTTGGAAAACTTCATGCTCGCTATATGAATTAGCTTGCATGATTATAATTAGATATTGATACCACTTACTGCGCTAGTCTGAATTAGACATTTTGCTACAAATATCATTCTTGGAAGACTATTCATCAGATTTTAAAAGACTCTTAGTCAACATCTTGCGAAGATACTAGATTTTACAGCTCTAGCCTGAGGCAGAAAGGCTGACTAACATCATTTTTTCCACCTGCACATGGATCGATGTATATGCATCGCACATTTGGTCAAATTCGATGATACCCCAAGCATAAAACCCAAAGAAAAAGAAAAGAAATTACCATGAGACTCTTCGCCTTCGGCTCCAACGGATCAGGCCAACTAGGAATCGGCCACGAAGAAGACGTCTCCACGCCAGTGCAATGTCTCTTCGAACAGCCAGAGCCATCCCAAGAATCCCAAATAACCACTATTCAAAACACCCTGGCAGATGAACCTGAAATCCTCACCATCGCAGCAGGCGGAAATCACACCCTCCTCCTAACAACCAGCGGCTCCATCTACGCCGCCGGCTGCAATGAAGACCGACGGTGCGGGCCGCACAGGGCAACCCAAACCCATGGGCACTCCGACAAAAATGAAGGAAACATTCTGCGCTTTCGTCAAATGATTCTATCAGATGCAGTCTCCGATACAGAAGTATCCAAGTTCAAACACGTCTCCGCGACGTGGGAGGGCACAATTGCTGTAGCTTCTGTGCCAAGAAGCAGCGGCAATAACGTCCATCATGGAGATAATCCCGACACTGAAGATCGAGTCTTTGTGTTCGGCTCCTCGCCTAAAGGTGAATTGGGTCTCGGACCAGATATCCCCGTTTCTGTCCCGGGGACATGTATCCCTTCCTTCCCGCCGGCGGATTTGAGGATCACAGCGCTGGCGAGCGGGATGGCTCATTCGGTTGCTGTGCTCTCGAATGGAGATGTCTATGGTTGGGGCGGGGCGCGGAAGGGCCAACTCGGGGCTGAGAATCGAGGGGCTAAGATTGCTTATTCTCCTGTTCGGATTTGTGTGCCGTTTTTCGCGGAGGCTGTTGCTTGCGGGAGGGAGTTTACGGTTGTTTCGGGAAGGGGACGGTTTGTTGTTCTTGGGGATAAGGGGAATCGGTGGGGTGTGTTGAGTGTGCCGGAGAGTTTATCTTTGGGTGTGGGTTCTGATTATGGAGATGGAGTTCGTTTACAGGATGAGCAAGGATGTGGAGGTACTATTCGTTATCGCTATACTGGTATTGCGGCTAGTTGGCATGGGGTTTATGTACATGCTGCGCCTGGGCTGGGGCGGGTGCAACCGGATGCACAGACAGACTCTGATTCTGATCTTGTGGGTGGTTCCATTGTCGCTTGGGGTCGCAATGATCGAGGCCAACTTCCACCACCGGATCTTCCGCCTCCTGCTAAACTCGCTGTTGGTAGTGAGCATGTCCTTGCTCTCCTGGGGGATGGCCGAGTGGCGGCGTTTGGATGGGGCGAGCATGGGAACTGCGGGCCGGATACAGATTCCCAGGGGAATGTATCGGGTACATATAATGTGATTTCGCTCCCCGAAGCTGTGGGCGCGGGTGCGAAGGTTGTCGGGGTTGGAGCGGGGTGTGCGACTAGCTGGATGATTGTGATATGATCGACTTTTGGATCTGGGAAAGCGGAGAGTTGGTGATAACTGCACTGCCCCTGACAGGTGTGTTTGCTCAGTCGAAAAGACCATATTGGCGAACCTAACAACCATCAGTATACGGATATCAAAGTCCCACCAGAACCGGAATTCACATACCTGAGACAAACGCTGTGTCGGCGGGAGACCCATCTCATCCTCTGGATCTTCGACACGAGAGCCATTCAGTTTCGAGAAGGAAGGCTCCGCATCGCGAATAGATGCCCCAAATGCGTCCTAGGTGTTTGGTTAGCCACCCATCGATACCCAACAGAGGTGAAAAAAAACTACATACCTGTGTTCCCGACGCATCCCATCCAAGAATATCCTGCGGCTCTTCTTCTTCATTCATCTCATCCCACTGCCGGTCATCATCAGCAGGTACGAAAAGGCTATCAAATTCCATCGAAAGCCCAGGAGCCGCCGGTCGATCTGTGCTAGCCTTCTGGCTCAGATTCTCCTGCGTCGATGATCCATTGAGAGGACGGATCGATCTACTTCGCGGTGGTGGCGGGGGCATCTGCGTACTTGGTGTAACCGATGGGTGAGGATCGCGCGGCCTGGTCGCTGAGATTGGGATAGGCATGGGCGTTTGCCGTGGGATTGTCGCTCGTGTTGACATGGGCGCGTCATCATTATCTGCCTGGCCACGGGTCATGACTGTGAATTCTGCGTTGATGCCTTCGAATCGGTACTCCAGTTGCAGGGGCCTGCAGGGTCGGGTGTAACGTGCTGTTACAGTTGCGTTGGCCGTTTCGGCATGCGCGACTACGGCTTTGAAGTCTTTCAGGTTGATCGCGACGTGCATGTTCTCTTCGACCAAGTACTCTTGGAAATCGCGCTTGTCTGCTGCTACGGATGTATGGACTGGGTGTTTTAGTACTTCTGTTTGGGTTGTTAGTTGATTAGACTTTTGAAACTTGGAGGCGAACTCGACATACCCTTGCCCTCGGTGATTTTTGTTGTAAAGCTTGTGAACACGGCTCTACCTGAGTCGGAATACATATCCAGCTGCTCGGCAGATAAGCTAAAGTGTTCAATGAGCTGCTTGAGAAAGCGTGGATCAGCAGTCCACATGCTAGTAGCTTTGGATTTGTCAAAGACGGCATGCTGAATTGCCGCTGGTTCGTAGGTGAGCTTGTATGACTTGATCACGCCTATATATAGTGTCAGAGATATGAAATTAAGCCAGGATTAACAGATCTATGCAAGGGTATCTTACCTAGTCCACAGATCATCTTCACTGTCAGTCTACACTCGGTTTGCTGTAGATCTTCATGCAATTCCATGTCACAGCGTTCAACGGCTGTGTCTTTGTTTTTGTCAATTCTCCCGCGGAATATGGACAAAAGTGCCTGGATTTTATATCAGTATAAATCAAGGAAAATAGCAACCCGTAAACATGCTGTAGGATATAACTCCAAGGGGGAAAGGTCTATGTACTCACTTTGATATAGATCTGGCAGAAGAACCGGTCCAGTGAAACACTGCCACTCCTGCCACTATTGCTGGAATTAAAAGAGTACGCCTCAAAGAATACTCCCTTCTCGAAAGCGAAGGAGGCAAACCCCGTCTTGGTGGAATTGAGGGCACTGAGGCGGAGCTGGGGGTACAGTTAGCTAAAACGTTCCATCTACTGGCTTCCAGAAATTTAAGACTGGATTAATCACCCCCAAAGGAAGAATAACTTACGATGTCAGGCTCTGCTTCGATGGCGACTGTTTCGCTGAATTTTGACAGGCATATCAAGGCGTCGTGGAGCCGGACTAAGGCTGGCGGACCTAGCGACAATGAGAGCGACGTCATGACTGCTTTGGTACTCTTTGGGTTCTTGGTGTCAAATAGGTTCAAGTATAAGATTGATTTGTAGATATCAGTTTATCTATCTCATTGAGCTCGCGCGATTGTTCGAATTCGAAGGAAACGCGAGCAAACACACGAGATTACATAAGCGGTACATATGGCCCCGGGGTCCACCTGGAGCCAAGAGCTCGGAGCCTCAACATCAGTTTTGATTTCTTTGTCCCCTTCGAGTATCAACTTCCCTAAAGCACAGCAAATTGAAATTACTAAATTAGCCTCGTGAGAACAAAAAAGCCATAATGAGAATCGCCATCTTTCAACATGCAAATACTCTCTTATGTTTCGATGTTGTGGAGGTTCATGTTCTAAGTGCCTGGTATCCAGGGAATTGTCACCTTCAATACTAGTATTAGGAGAGGAAAGCGTATGCTACTGGGCACTAGTATACACTAGTACTATTCCTCTTTGATTTAGTACTTTGCCTTTCCAACCTTGTAAGGATCATTAAATCAAGACAAAGACACACAATATTGGCGAACAGATTGGCGAAATTATTAGGCTCCCTTCATTGCATGCCAATTCACAAAGTCCAGTTATATTCTCGAAAGATTGGTCTCATTTTTGGACAGTAACCTACTCTGACAGAGCGAGACACGTGGAAATTTATACCGCAGCCCATATGGTGCCCCGTATGTTGGCCCCCGGGTTATGATGTAGCTCTAGTGCCAGGATCATTTGCCCTAGACCTCCAGAATATATAATATTCTCCTTTTCTTTTCCCTTTTATCACTCTAACCAATACATCACTGCCATGAAGACGAACATCTCTCTGAACCAGTTATAAACCACGTATATCAAAGATGCGCTCGATTGACTGCCTTGTGCTGGGATGCCGACATTTATTGCGAACCCCCCTAAAGCGCACTCTCGCTGCGATTTCCCTCGGCCTTGCATTTACCATTTTCATGCTTGTGCCTCGATCAGCAGAGCAACCTATAGTGGTCCATGCTTCGAGGTATATCCTTTGACCACCTGGGCTAATATGCCTTGGGACATCCAAACATCGCTTGATAAAGCCGTCCGGTCGCTAACATGCTCATCTTCTCACAGTACAAGAAATGCCTTCTTTCTAGGCTCTGGCGATGCGGGTGATGGGAACGGCCTCGGTCAGCTTGTTTTGGAAACTTCCCACGAGTCACAATCCATACCTTACGATCCATATCCTGAATACAACAGCGCTGCATGGAAAAATACGTGGAGAGGAACCTATCAGCAGTGTGTTGGCACAAATGGCTCAGTCCTGGACCGTAGGAACGCGGAAACAACAATGAAGGGATTTCGCTGGAACCAGTCAGGTTTGAACTTGAGAGCCTATATGCTGGCATATTTTGGTTCAGTGCTGATAGCATTCTAGAGTTTCCAGCGCCGATATTTGGATCGTACGAGGCGTGGAATCTCGATCGGAGTATCTGCGTCGACCGATATTCTCGATATGCGGCGTATGGCTACACAGAGGAAGGGAAAAAAGCGCAGTGGCAGGATGTGAACTGGGCCACTTTGCAGCAAGACTGCCTGCAGCGCAATGCAGACCGATATCAACCTTCGAATATTCGTGAAAAGATGTGGACTTTGCACAGAGAGCAGGATAAAGGAACGGATCAACATCGATTGGGAGAAAAGACAAAGACAGATCGAAACAATACTGCTATTTTCAAACCACGGACGGCGGTAGTGCTGCGCACATGGCTCGACATGGAATACACGGAAGATGATCTTTATTATATCCGGTCGATTATAATGGAGCTATCGCTCTTATCGGGTGCAGAATATGAGGTGATCCTCTTGGTTGATGCGAAAAACGCCGACTTGCCTCATCCAACGGACAAGACGGGCTTGGACAGTCTCAAAAAGTCTCTTCCGCTGGAGCTCCAGGATCTGGCAGTGTTCTTCAACTCGGAGATACTAGAAGACTGGTACCCGAAGATCGATGTTCACCAGTAAGATTACTTTCTATTCATATTCGCTCTCATACACAGACCTAAATATTTTCCAGGGCCATACTTCAATACTTCCAGCCATTGCAGATTTTCTCTCGATTGAATCCACAATACGACTTTTTCTGGCAGTTTGAGATGGATTCACGTTATACGGGACATTTCTATAACTTTCTCCAGCAGGCAACTGATTTTGCAAAACAACAACCTCGCAAGAATCTGTGGGAGCGCAACTCTTACTTCTACATCCCCGCTGTCCACGGGAGTTGGGAAAACTTTACTGATCAGGTAGACCAGAGCATGATGGGTCTTCATAGTATTTCGGGACCACAGCCAGCAAAGGGCATCGAGGTTGGGAATGAAGCACCAGAGCCACCGCACCCAGACCTCGATAATGATTCTTGGAGCTGGGGCGTGAACGAGGAAGCTGACGTGATGACTTGGCTGCCTCAATTTGACCCTCAGCACACCTACTGGCCCTTTTCTGACCGGATATTTAATTTTCGTCAGAGGGGACGTACTCCGCGCCGGGCATCCGTTGTCGCAATGTCCCGTGTCTCAGCCCGATTGCTCCGGCTTATGCATAAGGACCAGACCGAGAAAGGTCTTGGACTAGCATCCGAGATGTCTCCCACCTCCTGGGCCCTTTATTATGGGTTGAAATCTGTCCAGGTTCCTCAGCCCATTTACCATGCCCACGAAACAGATCCTGTTAAGCTCAATCTCCGAGCTAATGCAGGCAAGACCGGTAAGATCGGCGCTGGGAAGAATAGTATCTGGAACTGGAACCAGCACAATGATATTATGATGAAAGTGTCCTATATGTTTGGGTCGGAATTTTCCGAAAAGATTTATCGAGCCTGGCTGGGCTACGATAATGCGGAGAAAGTGAGTGGTTTTGCTCCCTTGAATTTCCCGTTCATATTCACTAACAATAGAAAGAAGGGACGTCGTCGCCTTTGCCTGCCTCCGATGTTCTTACATCCGGTGAAGAATACAAAAAGATAGTTGGTTCTCATGGCATATTAGCCATTTGTCCATTCCGAAGATTTGTACACATTCTATTCAAATCACACACATATAATTATCAAGAGAAGTACGGCTCTTGACGTACGTTCGACTGAGGGAGCCACTCATAAATAATGTGAATATAAATACCTCAGAGTCTAAGAAACAGTATAAAATCTCCAGGGCTAATACTTTGGATTACTTACTTTGATCGAATTTTTTAGTGTTCGGCTTTCCTTGTACTCTAAACTTGGACACTCTGTAATTTATGTCAAATAATATGTGTTTCTGTTTCTTCACTTTCCAATATGCTGATCCTATAGGGGGAAGCCGAAGTCCATCGGTGGCATCGGATCTTTTCTGAAACTCCGCGGACTTTCAACGTCAATTACCATCTCCATATCTCCATGGCTCCGACATTCAGGGTAAACGGGAAAATGATGGAATCAATCCAGATGGTTTATAAAATGAAATCAATTCCCCTATTTTCAATGTTCATCTCAACCTCCCATCAATCTATACCTCCCACATGTCTACCGACGGATCCACCTTAGTGAGCAAACCTCACAAGGAAGAAATAATCTCGAGCCTAGGGGCCGAGGATACCGAGGCGGAAACCAAGCCGACCATCTTCTCCTCCACCTTCCAAGAGGCTGTCTTCATTTTCATCATTGGCCTGTCGCAACTATTCTCTGTCGGCGGTCTAGGCAATGCCGCCTACTCAATGGAACAGATCGGTGCATCTCTTGGCACAAACAGTAATGGGCAGAGATCATGGTTTCTAGCCTCCTATTCCCTCTGCGGTGGTGTCTTCGTCCTAGTCACCGGCCGCTTGGGTGACCACTTTGGCCACAAATACGTCTTCCTCTTTGGCTGGATCTGGATGGCCATCTGGTCACTAGTCTGTGGCTTCGCCCACGACGTTATCCTATTCGACATCGCCCGCGGTATGATGGGAATCGGCAATGGCGCATTAGTCCCTAACTCCTTCGTACTACTAGCGCGTGCGTTCCCACCTCTCTCGGTCAAGAAGAACATCGCCTTTGCCTTCCTGGGCTTCTGCGCTCCCTCGGGGTACATCTTCGGCGGTTTGATCGGAGCTGGCTTTGGTGAGAAAGTTACCTGGCGATGGGGATTCTGGTTCTGGGCTATCGGCTGCCTCATTCTCAGTTTGGCGACTTTCGTCGTTGTTCCTCACCGAATCGGCTCCCCAATTTTAGGATTGAGTCTCCGCCAGTTCGACTACATCGGTAGCTTGCTCGGCATATCAGCCCTGATCCTGTTCTCCTTTGCCTGGAATCAAGCCTCGGTCGTCGGCTGGCAAGAGCCCTATACGTACGCCCTGCTTATTGTCAGCGTCTTCCTGATCGTCGGATTCACCTTCTCCCAGTCCCATGTCTCTGCCCCCGTCCTGCCCAATTCCCTCTGGACCCGCCCTGGCTTCGCACCCGTGATCATTGCCATGGCATTTGGCTGGATGTCCTTTGGAATCTTCCTATACTATACCACGGTATACATCCTCACTATTCATAAGACCCAGCCGCTTGCCGCAGTGGCTCAAATGGTTCCCCTCGTCATTGGTGGCTTGTTTGCTACAACGGCTGTTGGACTCTTCATCGCTAAGACGCCTGCCCAGTATATATTCGGCGTATCCATGTTCTCCTTCTTCGTCGGCAACCTGCTCATGAGTTTCGTCAACTACTCGAATGTCTACTGGGCCTTTATCTTCCCCGCTTGTCTGTTTGTCGTGGGTGGGCCCGACTTGTCCTTTGCCTCGTCTGGAATTCTCATTACCAATGTCGTCCTCCCCGAGGAACAAGGTGTTGCGGGATCCTTCATCTCGACGGTTGTGCAATACTCCATCTCCATTGGTCTCGGTATCGCCGCCACTGTTGAGTCACATGTTAATGAGGGAGGACAGAACCCAATCCGCGGATACCGCAGTGCGTTCTGGTTGGGAATTGGATTCGCAGCTGTGGGATTTTTCGTTGTAATTTTCTTTGTTCGCGACCACAGGTTTGATTCCAAGGCAGAGGATCAGCCCGGTGCCATTTCCGACACGGTGGATCTATGAACTAATTTGTGATATACTGATTTTAATCATGTTGACCGGCCTGAAACAGCTTAGCATAGCTAATAGACTAGCAGAAATAAAAGATTTGAATTGTTTTCAGAGGTAGTATGTTGGTCGAAAAAAAGCTGGACTATCTATAATTGAATAATATATGCTAGGCAATGCACCTAGCTTTCGTCATTCCTGTAGTCTCCTCTTCGGCTGATATAGCGAGGAGAAAGCTCCTTCTTTGTCCAATCTCTAGTGAGAATCCTGTACGCAGCAACATATCGACCTGGTATTTTGTTCTGATCTGTAAATTGTTCCAGTTTTGGCCCAGAGGGACTTCAGCGTCTTATGACGAATACAATGTGAGAAATTATACTCCGTATACCAGAAAGATGATAGTGCAAGATCTCTGGATTCAGGGCTATGGAATACTCCTTACAGAAGAATTAGATTATGGCGGTTAGCAGTGATTCGGGTAATAACCTGCATATCTAGGCTAGTTGACAATATTGGCACATAGGCGCTGTAATGTATCGCGCATACGGATTACAGAACGGGATCCCACATCTCAACATCTTCAGTCGAGAGACTCGTATGAGTGGTCTTATTGCGAAATTAACACACAATGTGATCTAATTCTCAATATATTGTCAATGTCAATGTCAGTCATATCGACCTTTGATACGGCCGATCACGGGAGATGGGCCGATTCCGCCCCCACTTGGAGTCAAACGGGTTTATGTCGGGAAATGTCCAACTTGCCTTATATTCTGCTCGACATGGATGTTGCCCCCAAAAAGCTCACCCTCTCCTGTTCGAGATGTCGCGCCTCCAAATTGAAATGTGATCGCAAAGAGCCTTGTGTGAGTGTGCCTGGAATCTTAGGGGAATTCGAACTCATTGTTTCTAGTTGGAATGTATAAAGCGTGACTGCGCCAACTTATGTACGAAAGATGCGCGCCAACCGAGAGCTAAGCGGGCTAAAAACAAACATAATGAACATAACCGCATCCAGGTAACGCCAGAGGAAGAGGAAGAACCGGAGATCGAAGAAACGGCGCAGATCTTGGAGCATTTCGTGGATATCAATCCTCTCCCCGAATCAGCGGGCGTGGCCCCTGACACCCCCAATCAATACTGGGAGACCCAGGATCCACAAAGGCACGACCAAAAGCTTGCCTTGATCCGAGATGTGGTTCAATCTCTGCCAGAATGGGATATCATCCAACTACTCTACGAGGTCTTTGTCACGCGTTGCCAGGGACCTCTGGGAAATGTGGTGCACACCCCAAGCTTCATGAAGCAAGCCGATCAATTGCGTCACTGCTTGAATACGGCTTCTCCTGACGCGGAAATTGCCAGTACAATTTCCATGGACTCTCTTGCTGGTTTGCTTCTCGCGGTGCCTCTCTCCTTTAAACCTCCGCTTTGCCCTATCCCCGGCTGACTGTTTCCACGCAGTTAGTGCTCGGACTCGCGTTTCATCCAACCCAGTCCATTTTGGGTGTCCAGATTACCCCGTTGACTTCCCGCGTAGAGCAACTACGTGCCTCGAATGAGCCTATGTCGACATGGCGGGCCCTCGGTGTGCGTTGTCTCCAGGGAGGTATTTCCCTCTTTTGTGGCTCTATCTCCAGCCTACAAGCGGCCATAATGCTCCTGTTGGATGCAAAAGCGAGCTCGTTGGAGCTTGATGCCGTCTTGGTTACCGCCATTTCGGGAGCGCGCAAACTTGGATTGCATCGCTTGAGCAATGCCACTTTGGATGCCTCCATAGATTATGGCTTGGCAACCGCTGGACCACCTCACATTCGCACAGAGATTGCAATTCGAATTTGGTAGGTATCACGAATACTCGGGTTTTGTTCATCGGGGCAAAGTGCTAAATCATTCGGGACCGCTAGGTGGGCTCTTGTCATGAGAGACTGGTCGCGCGGACAGACTCTTGGCTACTATACTATCCACCCCTCACAATTTAATACCCGTGTGCCGTTGCATCTGAATGATGACGATCTACTTAGGACACATGGCAAGATTCCCGAGCGCCCTCGGTCCGAGTTTACCATGCTGTCATATACGGTACACGCGTTGGAAATTGCAATCATTGTGCGGGAATTAGTTGATCTTGGGGATGCCGCAAACGAAGCTGGCCTACGCCGCCAGCACCTCAATCAAAAATACGAAAAATATGTGGCAAGTTTGCCGTCTTACTTTAGACTGGGAAGCACTGTCGGACTCACAGCCATGGGTCCTATGGCTGCCATCCCAGTTCAACGATTCATGTTGCATCAACAGCTGTGGAGTTTACTCCTCCGCCTACATCGCGGTACTCTCTCCTCTCCCATGGGGCGTGCATCTTGCCAGCAGCTGGCTCATAACATTACCAGCACGCAAGCCCAGATCCAAGCCCGTTGCACAGTCTGTGGTTCACTATCCACCAACGAAACGCAACTCTTCAACGCGACCGTTGTGCTGGTCTTGGGGTTACTGTTTGATTCTCCGTCGACCGAGGCTGAGCGCTCGAGTGCCCAACTGAGTCGCTTAATGACGCGAGACCATATCCGTGAGGCCATTGAACTGTTGCGTACCAAAACCTCACCCAAGCAATCCTTCAGCGACGCTATGTCCCAAGACCTGCTGCAAAGCTCGGTGTCGCGCAGTGTTGTGACCCTGGAGGCACTGATGAAGTTGGAAATGGATTCGAGTGACAATGCGAACCGCCATGAGGGATCGAACCAGAAGCGTCCCATCCACCGCCGGGTGTTAGAGATCCTGAAGACATTGAATAATCCAGCCACTCCTGCTGATCCACCCGTTCTATCATCAACTCCTAGGGACACCTCTTTGACCCACTCCATTCCTGTTGCGGACGGCTTCGCTGATCTAGATGTGATGCCCATTCTGTCTAATGGCTTGAGACCTAATATGTGGGACTTCTTGGACTTCCAGCTGCCGGAAGACGTAGGCAAAGAGAAGTTCTCACATATGGCCCATGAATTCCCACCATCTCTAGGGAGTGAACCTACGCTGGATCCTGCAATGACCCCTTCGAGTGCCGACGTCTTTGCGGCTGCTGATTTTCACGACATCATGGGAAATGAGAGCCCTCCTTCCTGGTGAGACATTGGCTGACCTGTCACATTTGGCGATGTTGAATTTTAAGGACAGGCAGCAACGATAGAGAATGTACTGTTGCAGATTATAGCATAAACTTGGTGAAAACACTGTCAAGCTTAGGTGTTCAGATATGACCGGTGACAGTCATGGGCAATAATCTGAGGGTAATTCGTGGGAGCCGTAAGCCCATGCTATTATAAAAAATGAGCTCGTATTAAAAGGATTCTTGGAGAGTTCAGATGTCAAGGTGCAAGAAGATACGGATATCAATATGTCGAGCCTTTTAATGAACGCTTATATGTACAACAAATAGTATTGAATAAAGTCACAGATGATGATGAATCAAAAGAAGAACAGAAATATCATAAAGCTTCGTCAAAAGGGGGTATATTGCTTGTGGGGTAGCATATGATAGAGGTATCAGTGCCAAATTAGGGTAAATTTTGGATATCAGATATGTCGGATCCCACTATCCAACATCAGGAGCGAATCCTGTGACGGGGCGTCCCTCCGCATCATCTCGTGTACTATCCTCTGCAGCATTCGTATTTATCTCAGGCTCTATATTCAAGCCACGGTCTTGCTCCGGATCCCGCTGGGGTAAGGGTTGCGGAAACTGCATTTCAAGAAACCGTCGTCTTCGTCTTCCCGTTCGAACAGCATGCAAGAAGTTAACACCAACCTGGGCGAAGAAGATCGCCAGGAAGGCGCCAATAACGAATCCCTGATGAATATATGTTTCATCTTTCTGCTCTTGTTGGCCAATGTCGCGGGTTTGATCACGTTCGTTAGGTATTTGCGAGCCAACACCAGGGAACGAAAGGCCAGAGCCACCAAATGAGACTGAGACCGAGAAAGAAAATGGTGTCAATGAGGTGAATACATTCGGCGATATTGAGTTGAAGACTCCTGACAAGGGCCTCAATAATAGAGGGATGATGCAGAAGACGAGCAGAGGGACGGATAGTCATAAGACAGAAAAGAGTGATGTGCGAGTAGACCTAGTCGAAAATGTCAGAATAGTATATAAGGGGGAGAAAAGATGTGGAGCCTACCAGTCTCGAGCCTCGAGTTGTCTTGCCCATTTTGCCGAGACTTTAAGTCTCTCTCGAACACTTGTAGCGGCAAGTATTGGATATTTCTCTTCTTCGGAGATGGGTAAAATGCTCGCAAACCACCATGGGAAGCGAGCTGCATCAGTAGGAACCGGCCCATATGCTAGCATGACGCGTGGGTGCAGCCAAGGAGCTCCAGACCTGCGTTGATTGCTGATGAACTCTTTTGCCGAGAGGAGTAACTGTTGAGTTGGGATGGAGTCTAACGGACGACCAGATTCATTCACTTCTGGTAGAGCATTTACACCGTTTGCTGAGGTCTCCGTCGACTCAAGCCGCTCCTCCTCTGCAAGCGAGATGTCATCTACGCGCTCTGTTTTGGCAATATGATAGCCATCCAGCATTCCTGACTCGACGATCTTGAACCGCGACACGCCCGTAGCCACCACAAGACTGCGACCATCTGGAAGCAGCTCATATCGCTCGATCATCAAGAGCGTTCCGTATTGCATAAACGGTGCATCACGCATTTGACCTATCTGTAGCCGGCCTTGTCGATTGTACATGACCATGCCGAATTTCCCATTTCCATTTGCGAGGACCCGCCGAATCATAAGTCGGTACCTGGGCTCGAAGACATGGAGGAAAGTCGGCATTGTCGGGAATGCTAGTGTGCACACAAAAAGTGGCAAGTTCTTCTCGAAATCCGGGCCTGCCTCATCCTGGGCGCTGGTCTCCCGCCTGACTGAGATCTGCTCGGGGAAAAAGTAGTCGATCAGCCGCGCCACAGTCTGGTTTATGGGCTCTGACTGTAGGTCATTCGGCATGCCTAGCTTTCGGCGACAAATAGGACACAGATCGGTGTGGTCCAAGACCCGTGCGACACATGTTCGGCAGAAGGTGTGGCCACAAGGCGTGGTCATCGGATCCAGAACGAGTGAATAGCAAACCTGGCAGTCTAACTCAGCGCGGAGGCTGTCTCGCAGTGTTTGGAAGTGAAGGAGATCCTGATCTTGTATGCTTCCGGCTGGGGTTGTAGAGCCTCCATAGATAACCTCGCATGCATCAGACGGGAATCGGCCTTCCAGTGCCAGCTTATAGATCCCCCCAGCCACGCATGCTGTTGCAAATGTACACTTCCATCCTGACTCTGTCCATCGGTTTTCCACTGTAGTGATGGTCCATCATCCTCGGACCAATTTTGGGGTACGTTCGTTGCCTCTGACCCCAGTATTTCTTCAAAGAGACCAACCAGCTTTCCAAGCAACACATCAGCGCTACAGTCTCCAACGCAATGGTCCCCGACACACGCCTTGTTTCCCTTCCAAAAGCATGTAAATTCCTGGTCTCTCCCCTCAGCCACGGGGTAAGTAATACCCGTCCGCGGCCGAGATGCGGGTAGACATTCCCGGCAGACTGAATTACCGCATGGTAGGCGAAGTGGATTTCGCAAAGGGCGGGAGCATCGTTGGCACTGGATCAACTGGATGACAAGATGAGGTAGAGCTGCCGTATCGCTAGGTGTATGCTCTTCCGAGCTTGAGATATCCGAGCTCTCCATTGTGATCGGAGTGGGTTCAGCGTCAATTAAATATGTTGGTGGCAAAGATTCGGTTGCATTTTCCATGTCACTGTTAGTATAAAGCACAGTAAATCAGAGGGAAACACAGAAGGATGAATAATGATGAAGCTCGAGGTTGGGGGGATCCGCTATCTGCACGTGCCCAGGTGGGTCAACTTTAGATAATCGGATCAGTGACCTCGGGACCATGGATCCCCGGCTGTCACGGTACATCGTTTAGCCGGTGAGCTATGTATATCGCGGTGCAGAACTAGCGCCTCTATACAGAACAATATAGGACTTACATACTATGAATATCGAGCTGGTTTAAGATGATATTACAGACCTTATAATACGATACCATTTCAATGTCTTCGTAGATGTCTTTTCTCTATTCTATGAGATATCCTTTAAGATATCTATAAAAGTCCATTTGGAAAATTTAACCGCAAATTAACGCACAAGTCCGACTAAATTAAGGAGGATCCAAAGGGGGATACTATGGACAGATTATATACTAGACTGGTATCCCTCCGCGGTATAAATTACAAATTCTAAGCTCCGAGGTAGCTGACTTCAACCTCCATAATTTGAGTTGTCGGCGCATGAAAACGCAGGTTCTAGATCTATTAGCGACAGCTTATTGCAGGGTGATTGCCTGACGTACTGATTGTTCCATATGCATAAGCATCTCTAATCTGCAGGCCGACTCCATACGTTCCACCGATTATGAAGAAGAACCCAAACGGAATCAAAAACACATGCGCCCAGTACATTAGTTGTTGGGTGACAGTGCCGGTCTTGAAGCTTGAGTGATCGTACAGCCACAGCCAGGCGGGTAAGACCATCGAGAGAGGCGCAAAGCACAATGAGCCCGCCAGTGCGTTTAAGTAATTAAAGATCGGGATCGCCTCGGCACACACAAATGAAATGAGGGCGAGCCCAAAGGTGCACGTCAACCATGTCACCCAGTGAACGACAGTATTTTGTTGCAAATGTCTTGTGTTGCGTAGTAGTCGCACGAAGATGTACTTCGCAGCTAGCTAAAATCATTTTTAACATGGGTTCTTCATCTCGGATTATACTCGAAGGCTTACATGCATATAGACCGAGGCACTGATAACAAGGCCTAGAAGGCCGATGCCATATGCTACCATTTTGATCGTCTGACCAGCGCTCTAAAAAAATCATCAGTACGTTCTCCGTGATTATAAAGTGATGCAAAACTACCCCAAGCGACGGGCTGGCGACCCATTTCCCACACCATCGGTAGACGACCAGGCTAAAACAAAGATAGCTTGATGTAACAAATCCCATGCAAAGATATAGCGACTTCCGGTAATCTTCAGGACGCTTCATCTCAGCCATAACTGGAAGGAAGGCGCTTGTTGCAGAGCTTGAGTAGAAGATTGTGCATGTAGCGACCACACCGGCTGTAAAAGACGGATAGGCAATGGCATTGAAGCCGAATTCGTAATCACCCGTCTGGGGGGCGGCTGCGGGTCGATCTCGTTGTGTGACAGCAATGACCACCGTCAAAACTGCAACAAAGATGGAGCCACAGCCAAGATAAGTGAGCCAGCCTAACTGGTTCAATTTTCTGATCGAGGCTACCACAGCCACAACGGCGGCTGCTAGGAATGCCCACCAAACTGTGCATGCTGCGTGGTGGGACAAGGTATTGAGACCAACCGAAATTCCAACAATTACTGCTCCGGCGGACAGCACGTATGCGATGATGAAGAGAAGACCAACGATTTCCTTGGTCACTTTGCCGCCCACAACCTCAGCCATATCAGCAATGCTATGACACCCTCGGTGTCTAAGACGGAAGTTGCCCAGAATAACTGCAACGTAGGTGTTGAAGGCGCCCCATCCGACGACGTTGAGCGATCCACCAACCGCTCCCAAGGTGTACATGGCAGTCGGAATAGATAAAACACCCACGGCAAACAAAATCTTGATAAAGATCACTGAAGCCTTTATCCAGCCGACTGTGCGATACTTGACCCCATCTTCTGTGTCGTTGAATACTTCGGTCTGTTCAGGTAGCTTGTCACAATAGCCCTGTTCGGGACTTGGTGCTCGCTCAATATCGGGCGATTTGATATCGGAGCCCACCTGATGTTGAGTGTCTGTGGTCATTGCTGTTTTGGATGTAATTGAAACAGTATGGGAATTATTCTATTGACTGAACGGTATAAAACACACTATATAGTAGGATGCTGACAAGCGACTCAGGTCAACTGCCGTCGGCGAAATCAAGCCACAATAGATAAGCGTGCATTTATGCGGGGAAATGGGGACTGCATGGTTTACTCAAAGAGGATAATCGAGTACTCCCGAGGCCCTTAGGTCAAAACAATATTCACAGGGTGTCCATAGTGGAGAGTGTTATCAGTGACCGACGGCCACCCCATATCGCCGGTAAGATGGCCGACGGCGTTGGCTTCCCCCATCATTTCTACGTAGCATGACCCTAATGAACAATTCAAATACTCTCTTGTTTAGCCAATTCGACTGCACTTATTCTATTCCTCCACACTTGCTCTCTGATTACACCTGCTTTGAATTTGGTACAGAATAATATGGCGTCCTCCCAACTTCCTCCTTTCAAGGTCAACCAGACACGACTACTTGAGTCGCTACATGCAAGCTGCCAACATGGGTCTGCGCATTCATATGGAAAGTAAGCTTACTCACTCTCCGGCTGTTCGACCTACGCTGATTGTGCTATTATCAGTGACCCCACAGAAACCGGAATGGCTAGGCTTAGTCTAACTGACTCGGATAAAGACGTAAGAGAATGGTTTATTGAGTCCGCGAAAGCCCTTGGCTGCCATACCCACGTCGACCAAATGGGCAATCTATTTGCAATCCGCGCCGGAAAGAATAAAGAAGCCCCTCCCATCATGATGGGCTCCCATCTTGACACGCAACCTACTGGAGGACGATACGATGGCATCCTCGGCGTCATCGCTGGCTTGGAAGTACTGAAAGTACTAGAAGAGAACTCGTTCGAGACAGAAGGAAGCATTGGTGTCGTTGACTGGACCAAGTATGTTATTTCCCCCAACAGATTGAACAATTGACTAACGACTGTACCTAATAGTGAGGAAGGAGCACGATTCCCAGTGATGGCTATCTCGGCTGCCGTCTGGGCCGAGGCGATTCCTCTCGATACGGCTTGGAACCTGAAGGAAATTTCCACTGGTGATAACATACCTCGCAAGACTATGAAGGAAGAACTCGATAGAATAGGCTATGTGGGCGAAACGCCGGCCTCGTTTAAGGCCAATCCTTTTGCTGCTCACTTTGAGCTCCACATTGAGCAAGGACCCATATTGGAGGATGAAGGTCGAAAGATTGGTGTTGTGCAAGGTCAGAAGCTTTCGCCTGATTGGTGATTAATACTGACCATACCCAAGGCGTTCAAGCATTCAAATGGTTCGATATCACTGTTAGTGGTAGGGATACCCACGCCGGCACAACCCCTCTGTACGCGCGTCAAGATGCTGTGCTATGTGCTGCCAAAATGATCACCGCCGCGAATTCGGTCGCAAAGAAGGCCAACGGTCTCGCTACGACGGGTATCATACACTCGGAGCCAGGAACGGTCAACACTGTAGCTCAAACAGTCAACTTCAGTCTGGATCTTCGCCATACCTTTGACGAAGATCTCGAAAAGATGATTGCAGACTGCGTGGTCGAATTCCAGAGAATTGCGACCGACGATAGTGAGCGAGGCTGCACCGTCGAATGGAAGGAACTAGTCGATAGTCCCGCTGTTCATTTTGACAAGGACTGCATCTCCGTGGTTGAAGAAAGCGCCAAAGCTGTTCTTGCAGAATTCCCAGATCCAGCGTCAGGGGGAAAGCAGTGGCGGGATATGATCAGTGGTGCCGGTCACGATAGTTGCTACACAAATCGGCGGTGCCCAACGAGCATGATCTTCACACCGACTCGAAATGGGATTAGCCACAACCCTGTGGAGTATTGTTCTCCTGAAGACTGGTAAGTACTCAACGATATTCCTTGTTATAATTACTAACTATTCCAGTACTCTTGGTGCCAATGTCTTGTTAGGTGCTGTTTTAGGATATGACAAGCTCCGCGCCAAACGAGGTGACTTTGCTTAGGGTAAGAAATACTTATAAAGATGTGTCAAGCGCCTGTAAACTGCAAAAGGCTGTATATTAACATGTAATGAAAGATGGGATATAAATAAATTTTTGGTAATGACCTTGTCAAGAATCATTGCAACCACAAGAGTGAAATATATCGGAGCTTTCAGGGCAATCTCACCGGCTAAAGACTAGTCCGCCCTGGCTTAGTTGCCCAATCGGCTTCTTCTCCTTGCCCCTAATTTTCTTGGTCTCACAATTGTAGTCAACTCTTGGCTCACGATCTAACAAGGTAAAATGAATAGATATAGTGAAAGTGTTTCTAATCTCGATAATAGTACTCTAAGTGGCCGTGGTGCGAGCGTGCGAAGGTATCGCTCCAAATCACAGAGACCATGCGATTTGTGTCGGTCTCGCAAAGTTCACTGCAATATCCCTGATCCATCCCAGCCATGTACACTTTGCGAGCGTACTAGGCGATCTTGCACATTTGTGGAAAAGCCGAATCGTAGGCCCACCAAGAAACAAGCTCAAGACTTCGGCACACTGTCGCAATCCCCTCGACCTGACGGGTTCTCGGGATCTATTGCCGGTGGCATAGTCCCCTGTACATCTATCGACACACAGACGCCGCCCTCCATTGTTCCACCATCTCAGGATGATATTCAATCTCAACGACTTCCAGGCACAGGTAGTGCAGCTCCACGCAAAAGCCTTGCTAATAGCTGGCTAATAGCTCGATGCAGATGATGGTTTTCTATCCGACATCCATGGTGTGCCCAACGAATCACTCCTCGACAGTTCCCTGATCGCAACTGGCTGGCCTCGTGATGACGGCGTTGACTGGCCCACGTTCAACAATGAAGATTTCCAGGATATGCTTGATCATTTTGGGCGAGAAAACGTCTCGGAACTCCTGCCTACTGACTCAACCGGCCGCCTTGGTCTCAATACTGCCGATCAGACTCCATCACCGTCACATTCTAGCCAACCTGAAGGCTTGGAAGAGTTGACCTTCGATCAAAAGCCCGACTTCTCCTGTCAACTTTTTGGGTTTTCGGGCGAGTCCGACCCGTTCCTTCTGCGAAATTATCCGTACGACGACTCAGGTGAAGTGAAGTTCTTCAGGCTGATTTATAGAATGGCATCCAATACAGCCGCTGGCCCCGAACCTGACCAACAGGGGACGAGCTTGGCCGGAGCCGTGCCTGTTTACTTTCTGCAAAACCATAGCCAAACAGTATCTCGGTCTTTGCAAGCTATCGAAAAGTGCATGTTCGAACAAGACAAATGCGATCCAAGAATCCAACTCGACAATCTCGTGAGTCCAGAGATGGGAGTCGGACTAGTGAAGCTGTAGCTACCATGTGCCCTCAGTAGCGGGTTCCCCTGCTAATGGTTCAAAGGTATTTTCGGCACATCTTTCATGCTCTCCCGGTCCTTTCTCGGTCCTTCGTTTTTCGAGATATCGAAGCCTTCGTGAAAAATGCCTCAGTTGGGCTTCTTGCCGCGATATACGCGCTTTCACTACAATTCACTGCATGGGATGACATTCTTTGCGTTGACAGTGGCTATACCAAACCATCCACGGACGACTTGTGGGGTATATCATATGCCTGTGTGCAGAGAGAGATGCACTTTCCACGCCTATCAACAATCCAGACTTCTCTTTTACTCCTCAACTTCGACCCTTTCGATCCAGCTTCCGCAGAGAATCCTTCGGCGTGGGCTTTGGCAAACTCGACGTTAGCTATTGCTCAGTCTTTGGGATTGAATATGAATCCTATAGGCTGGGATTTACCCATCTGGGAGATTCGCCTCCGGCGACGCCTGTGGTGGTGTGTTCTTGTCGAACACAGCTGGCGAGCCATCACCCATGGACGGCAGTCAATAATTTCCTACGATAGCTGGAATGTGACCCCTCTCACCTTGGCTGACTTTGAAGTCAACCTGGATCCTGGAGCTGGGCTTGGAGTGGATGAAGTTTGTCCGGATTACTTTATGCATCTTAGTTTACTCACAATCATCGCCAACGATTTGTGTCGGACCTTCTTGTGAGTTCAACTCCTTCCCCTTCTTCCCCTTTCTCGTCATTCTATGGCGTTCCATGGCCGTCTCTATCAGAGACATTCCCGAGTCTGCCTATCAAAGTCCACTAATCGGCAATATCAGCTCTCTCCGCTCTGTCTGTCAAAAACAACCTTTGGATAGCTTGATAGATCAAGCCCGAGTGTTTCGCCAGCAACTACATCAGTGGATCGGTGCCCTGCCAGAGTCACTCCAGATGCCAGCACCAGCGAGGACAAACTCAGAAACAGAGGAAGAACCAGTCGATACCCGCGGTAGCTTGCACATCTCATACTTCACAGTTCAAATCTTGCTTTTCCGTGCTCTTTTACGACCAATACTCGACGACAAAATAGGGCTAGACCACCTTCAAGCCTCGGTTGCAGCTATCCTAGACGCATCGCGAGGCTTGATTCGCGCTGTGACTCGTTTCATCTACAGCCTCGATGTCAGGCATCAATCAGCCTTCTGGCCGACTTATACGAGATCATGCTTCTCTTATCCTGGGCAATTCAGTTTCATGCTATGTTTCCAGCACAGAGAGCCGCATATGATGATTGATGACCAAAAGCTCTTGGGTGTTTGGAGACAAACATTGCGTACACGGGCTCCGTCTTGGCCATTTCTTCGTTTTGCGGCTATTCGAGTTGATGGCATCTATTGGAAAAACTTGGTCAATGTCGCAGCTGCTTCTCACACTGTTGATACCTCAACATGAGCCTTTTTGTAGATGAGGATCGCTAGTAAGAGCCACTGATGCGGGAAAACATAGGTTTTGGCCTTGAGAATGCAAGAAAATTATGTACTGTCCAAGTATGTCTGGATCCAAGTCAAATTTGCCCTAGGATGCGAGGAATTTCTTTCTGGGCCGTTAAAGGCGTCTATTTCTATACATTAAACCCACGCGGTCTCAACATCCCAAGACCCCTCACTCCTACTTCCCGCCAACTTGCTTTCTGTGCGATGCAAAAATTGACCAAAGCCTCGGGCACCCACGACGCCTCCATCGTCCCGGTCCCAAACTACCTGTCCACGAAGCACGGTGTAGCGCGGCCACTGATTTACCTTGTGTCCCTCGAATGGGGTGTAATCGACGTTATGATGAAGGATGTCGTTGGTGATAGTCATATCAAGACCACCCTCAGGGTACCAGATGACAAAGTCGGCATCACTGACCGAGGGGATAAGAGCGCCTTTCTTCGGGTACATGCCATACAATTTGGCGGGGTTGGTTGATGTCAGCTCCACGTATCTTTGTATCTTGAGTCGATCAGCCGAAAGGACCAATGGCATTCGAGTCTCGACACCAGAGAATCCGTTGGGAACTAAGTGGAACTGGCCATCGGGGTGTTCTGCTGTCACACTCGATCCCTTGCCAGAAGTCGAGTCGTTGAAATTGAACGGGGAGTGGTCCGACGAGAGAATGGTAAATGTTCCGTCCTCGAGACCGGCCCAAATAGCTTCATGGTCGGATTTGTTGCGCAGCGGTGGACTGCAAACACACTTTGCCCCCTCGAGCCCAGCCAGATCCACGTTTTCGTTGCTCAGGAACAGATATTGAGGGCATGTTTCGGCATAAATGGGAAGCCCGTTTGCCTGGGCTTGTCGAATGTTCTCGACGGCTCGAGGATTAGAGACATGTACGATTAAGATGGGTGTATCAATAAACTCAGAAAGACAGATTGCACGGTAGCTGGCCTCAATCTCAGCGGCTGCGGGGTGAGAAGCCGTATGGTACTTTGGTGCGTATAGTTTGCGCTCATGCAGTTTCTTGGTCATCCACGCAATCACAGAGTCATTCTCTGCATGCACCAGAGTTGTGACCTTGTGTAGACGGGATTGAAACAAGACATCCAAGAACTGCTCGTCGTTGAGCCGCAAAGCTTCGTAGGTCATGTATATCTTGACGGATGAGATTCCCAACTCTCGGAAGGCTGGGAATTCCGCAAGAGTCTTTGCGCATGGGTTGGAGATAATGAGATGGAATGAGTAGTCGCTGTAGCATTGGTCCTGGGCGCGTTCATGGGCGCTAGCTAGGGTTGCGAGAACACTATCTTCATGCTTCCGTTGAGGTGCAAAGGCTACAATGGTGGTTGTACCTCCCGCAATTGCGGCGCGGGTGCCTATGAGGTGTGTCAATTTAATGAACACATTAATGGCCGACCCAGGAGATTGGGAGACTAACCAGACTCAAAGTTGTCTGCAGTGGACCCGAGTCCAAAGAGAGGCGGTTCTTGAAGGTGAACATGGGCATCAATCCCTCCGGGCTTGAAAGAAGGTTAGCAGATGGTCGTGAGTTCACTCGTGAGGGGTAAAAAAAAAACCAACCGTAACCAGTGCTCCCTTCGCGTCAATTATATTTTTGGCCTTTGAGTCAGCCAACGTTCCTTGGGGGACAATTGAGTGAATCTTCTCATCTTTGACGCCAATGTCACATTGTATAACGTCTTCAATAGTGGCCAAAGTGCAGTTTAGGACAATGAGATCCAGGTCAAGATTCGATTGCTCAGCCATATTGAAGAATAGAACCGAAAGATGTGTTCAATGAAACTTGAATACATTTCGAAGTATCTAGTTGTTAAGAGGGGCACCGCCGTCGGCATCGTTATCGACTGAAAAGGCGGCGGCGAAATAAATACGCTAGTCCGGATTTGGCGATAGTCAAGCGCTTTGCATCCATGGATGGATCGATGCACCACGTGGCTGGAAATGCTATCTCCACAGTAGATAAGCTATCTCCAGTGACTATACAAAAAGAAGATAATGCCCAATGAACTCATTTCAAAAGGGTTCTCTTTTTATTATAGAGAGAAGTTGAGTCTGAATGTATATGCGGTATTGTGGTCCCACTTGAGACATGAGAGACATGAAAGATCATTCAAAAACTAGCCTCTAACGGTATGCATTGAAAAATCGGCCGCCAGCTGCTGCTTTCCTTGTCGTATTGGTTTCTTGAAAATCCCAGAAACAGTTGGTTTGGACCATGTGGAAACGGCGCGAGATCTTCCTCAGTGATCCACGCAGGTTGCCACTCATTCGGTCTGAAGATACCATACTCATGTACACGAGCCTCTTCAGGGATGAGTGCTGCTTGTGACCCGATTGTCTCATGCGTGGTTATGGGGGGTGGTAGATCGATAACATTCTTGACGAGAACTTTGTGAGAAATTGTCACTGTGGTTTCTTGCCTCAGGGCAAGGCTATAGCCCTCTTCCAGCTTCATCAACATTTCCAACAAGAGAGCCACGGGAGCGCATTTGAAAAACCCTTGTATCGGAGGCGCTAGTCGCAATAGATCCAAAGCCCTTCTCCGCAAGATTGGGTCACGACATCTCAACACGGTCATGGCGAGAGGGACACCCACACTCATCTCGAAGGTGAATGGCGGTTGAACACCATTTGGACCTGCTGAGGCATCGAGAATCAACTTAGATTGCTCGACGATAGTCACAAAATCTGCAAAATGGTCGTCAAAAACGGTTTCCTGTTGCCTTAAGCATCCTGTCACATGAATCAAAGCAGCAGCATGATATGTGAGCAGCATAGGCTCTGGGTACATGGGGACAGTGGGTACGGAGCTGTTGTTTTGGCAAATGGTGGTGTATGCCAGATGCCATTCAGCGAGACGTGCTTGGAGCGCTTCTTTTCTCGCGACCATTTCTGGGCTTACAGCGGAATCTGCACCAACTGCCTTGAGGTGTAATTTCGCCTCGTGCTCAAAGAGGATAACTTCCGCAGCTAGGGCGGACATAATGGTTCTTGCCGAATCAGCGGACGGGAAGCCAGCGCCCATGTCTGTTTCTACAAAGGCGAAAAGTTCAATAGGAAACTGAGTCCCTGTAATAGTCAGAGAACTCGTGCCCAGTCGTAGGAATAAGGGAGCAATGCTGCGCTCCAGCAGAACGGCTTTACTGGTAGATACTCCTCCATGGCCAACTTGGGCACGGAGGTCAAGTATCAAGCTAATACCCTGTCGGTAGAGCTCCAATGCCTTCTCCATACGTCCTTGGATCGTCTCCACGCAAATAAATAGTGCGCAGCTGATGAGTGCAACGTACGGGTCTGCGCTGCCTCGTTGGATCTGCGAAGAAACGCCAGAGATTGATCGTGAGTACCATGTCAATGCTTCCTCCTGGGCATGATTAAGCAAATGTGCCTTATGTCGGCGATCCTTCAAAAAATGAAAGTCCACGCACTGCTTCGGATTTTCGTACAGTGCGCTAATTGCAATTATTGCATCCCACACAGCGGGCTGACTGCGGCAGATCTGCGGAACAACCCCGGTCCAAAAGTCTACATTCATTCCACCTGCCAGATGTTGGGACACATGCTCGAAGTAGTATGCAAATGCGCGACGTTCTCGTCGCGCTGCATTTTGAGACAATGACAGTCCGTGGCCGGGTGCGGAGGGAGCCCGGGGAGATGTCCCACTACCCTCGTATTCACATCTCCGTCCTGTGCTAGAGCAGCGAAGGCAACTTGGCTTCTCCTCACCACATTTGACTCTTCGGATTCTGGTCGGCAGTCAGAGTTTATGAACTCTGAAAATGGCAACAGAGACTTACTTGCAGGTTTTGCACCCGGTTCGAGATTTGACAGCCCCTATACGGCGGCTCATCCCTGAAGCAGATGGGCTCATGAAGACATAGAAGCTTCAATCATACCTCCAAGGCTATAGTTGGATGTGGTTACTAAGTACCCCATCCACGTTGTGGTCCAGCAGAGCTTTGACCGCCCTCATAAAGCGGGTGGGGCTTAACTGGACTTCATGGAATCTCATCGAGGTTGCCTAGGTGGGCTCTTAGGCATATCTAAGACTTGCATATACGCGGTAAAGAAATTTATTGCTTAGTGTCTATTTGAGCAAAGAAGCTTGGTAATCCTGGGAGTCATGGGGGTCAGCAGGATCTTGTACCCCTGTCTTTACTTACGCAGATAAAACCAGACAATATGGCCACCTCGGCAGGTCTACAATTACCCCATGAGACCACCATCGGATATTGGTATTATATCCTTCTCAACTACCGACCGTGAAGTCAGGAAAGGCCCGAATTTGTCGGCCGTTGTGCTTACAAAGAACAACCTGGACATAACTAGCCCTGGAGCCTGGCAAATTTCCCGGCGGGTAGGCAACAGTGCTGAGGCCGCTTAGGAAGATCCCAGGGACTAGCCAAAGTTCACATAGCTGCATTCCGGATCTTTGGGGGCTGAAAGAAAAGTAGATAAATAGGATTTCTACACGGCGTCTGAACCAATTTCGTTGGTAATATTCACACGATTTATCCGGAAAGCTCATATCTATAAGCTCCCTTCACGATGCCGATCACCAGCGATATCACCCTTAATGTCTCCAAGTTCCAGCCAGAGAACGTCACAGAGTCAACAAAGAAAGCTGCCGCTCTTCTGGAAAACATCACCACCACTGGGCCTCGATGGTGGGAAGTAGATATCGAAAAATATCGTGAGATGAGGGAGCTTGGTCAGACGTCGCTGCCCAGGCCCGTTTATCTACCCGCGGCTCTTGATGGCACTATTCCTTCGCGCCATGCTGGCCGTGAGATCTCCATCCGTATCTACAAGCCAGATAATGGCCAGCCCAGCAAAGGCATCTTCCTGCACTTTCATGGCGGCGGTTTCGTGCTAGCAACGCACAAACAGTGAGATTCTTTCCTCGACCCTTCTACCCCGGCCTGCGTAAATATTAATATCTTGGACAGCTCCGATAGCACCCTCCGGGAATACGCCAACAAGTGCCAGCTAACGGCCATTTCAGTCGGGTACCGCCTAGCCCCGGAACACCCCTACCCGGCTGCCATGCACGATGCCATCGATGCCGCTGAGTACATGGTGGACCATGCGGCAGAGGTGTACAATGCTCCCCTCCGCTTTATCGGCGGGGAATCAGCAGGAGCCTGTCTCGCGGCTCAGTCAGCCCTGCAGTTGATGCGGTCACGGCCGTCTTACAAACTGTCGGGTCTCGTTCTTCCTTATGGCTTGTTTGATCTATCCCTCGGTCTTCCCATGATAGCGGCTTCCACCAAGCCCCTCATGATAAATTTGGAAATCATGGAGCGGTTCAACAGCGCATATGTGCCGGGCATGAGCACTGTCGAGCTCAAACTTCCTTGCGTGTCCCCGCTATATGAGGACCTCCCGGCACTGGTTGCGGCCTCTTCTGTTGGATCATTACCACCCGCTCTCTTCTTTTGCGGGACGGAGGATCCGTTGCTTGATGACACGATCCTGATGAGCTCTAAGTGGAGCATTGCCGGTGGCGAGGCCATCGTCAAGATCTACCCTGGTGCCACTCATGGGTTTACTGCGTTTCCTGGTCTGCCTGTAGCAGATGAGGCACATGCGGTGACACTGGAGTTCATACAGGAGAAATTGATCGACTCGGCGTGATCAACGAAAATTCTAGATGTTGACCAATCAGGCAACTGCCCAGTAGCAGTTAAATAGTGAAACCCTCGGTCCTATTTGCCTAATTAGTAGTTACCTAAAGCCAATATACCTCCTGTTCCCTTGGTATAACGATATAGGTGGGTTGAAGCTGAGAAGCAACAGTGTTCAAGACTGGAGACAATATAAGGGAGACTATGGTAAGGGGGTGGCACTGGTTTGCCCCGAGGTCAAAATTATGTATATCCCTGATCTACACCGGTTAAGAAATCCGATGCACCCAATGGTGCCGATTTCTGAAGGTCAAAAATTATGTCGCAGATCTGTTTGAGAATTTCATACTCCAGCGTACTGCGTTGCATCTAGGTTTTTTTTTTCAGAAGTCATAGATTGAATATGCGTAAATCGTCGCTCGGGATACAAAAAGCCAAACACCCAATCAGCCGACAAGCAGGGTATATTGGCAGGACATGAAAGTTCAAATGGAAGGAAATGATCAAAGAGTTTATTCTGACTGAGAAGTACCTGACGAGTCCGATTCCGAATCGGAGTCTTCATCAAGGACTATTCGTCGCATGACACTCTTGTCAAATAAGTCCAAGGCGAAACGTCGAGCTGGGAGTCTGTAATGATGACTCTCCAGGATGCATAGGGTCTTGCGGAAGAGATGAGTTTGATGGAATCGTTCGGGTTGTTTGGATTTTAGGCTGTGGTTGAGAATTGTGAGCAAATGCGAGAAGTCGCAGAATGAAAACTGGGAGCCTTACATGTGAAGATCAGAAGCCGCTCGTTTGGAGAGCACGGTGTTGCCCATATCAACGATCAACTTCAAGATCCGTTGATTGCCGGGATCAGGGTCCGTGGTGGCTTCCTTGAGTTTCTCCTTAGGTGTTCGCTTCAATCTATGATCAAAGCCAGGGAAGGAGATCTAGATGGATGAGCATAATGAGACGAAAGCGAAGGGACAGAAGAAACTCACCAAGAACAATTTTCGGAAATCGGTTGGAAGACAGAGTCCCAGTGAGTCTCCCTTTTGGTCAACACCGGAATCCCAGCCCAATCCCCGCAGCACTTGGAGTCCGTGTCGACTACGAGAAATCAAGCCCAAAACGAAGAAAGCAGTGCCTCGCATAGTGAGAACTCCTGCACTGGTTGCTATTTGCACGATCCGTTTGATGATCTCAGCATCTAGGAATGGTGCACCAAGCTCCATTGAGCCAACATTACCGACAGCCCAGAGACATCCTTTGGCCTTGAGAAGCATTTCGTTGTCTTCTTCATCCAGCCTGAAATCACGAATTGTCCAAGCAAATTCATTAAAATGGCCCGATTGTTCCAGCAACTTACACCCCTCGGCAGTTCGTGCAAGTTCTCGGTAGAAATGTGGTGGTACTAACCCAATATCCTGGAGGTCCACCAGATCCTCGGGGATAAGGCTGTTACGTCGCGGTTGCTCGACGTAGGCTCGGGAAAGAGCAGCTTCAACAAGACCAACATAGCTATCGTTGCGACCAAGGAACCAGTCATCCATCTCTTGGGTGATGTAATCAAGGCCATCCAGATAGTGATATCCAACGGAAGTCGACAGGAACCGGAGAAGTAGCGGTGCACCAATTTCACCCAAATGATCGAGGGAAGGTCGACATTTGACCACGAACTCGAGGTAATCCCGTTGATTGCACGCCTCTTCAAGTATTTTCACGGCAACCTGGCAGACCGTAACCTCGGGATCGTACAATTGGGTGACAAGAAGTTTAACCACCCATTCTGCATTGCCAATCGCCACGTGAGGCGAAAGTGCTAGATCACCAACGGCATATTTGCGCAGGAGTCTAGTTGCAAAGATCCGGATTTCTTTGGAACCAATTGTCAGGGCCTTGGAAAGCATGACCCGGAGATGACTTTGGCGGCTGTAATCCATGTTTCCTAACAAAGTCTGAATGAGATCATTCCGATCTCGCAGCTCAATGATGTGGTAAAACATGTTGAGCATATGCCATCGTTCCATCATGAGCAGCCCGTTGACATCGCCACTCAATGATCCTAGCATCGCAAAGTAGCCTCCGCTTAGAGTAGTAGCCATCTGCTCTTTGGAGAAAAGTGGGGACGCAGATGTTAGCCCACTCATTCGGTCCAGCTGGGCCAGACATTCTGCGACCTGACGAAGGAATTTATTCTCGGCCAGATACTTGGTGCCCTCGGGGGTCATAACGAGAGTCCGCATGAGAACACAGCCGGTTCGAACATATCGTTGATTTGCCTTTGTGTTTGAAACAATAGAGAAGCGATACTTGAAAGGCCGGTAAAACCCAATGAGACGCTTCATGAACTTGGAGCCTTTGATTGCCTCGTCCATTCTTTTTGGGTTTGTGAGAGGACCCTCCACTAGACGGTGAATAATATCCCATTTCCATTTATTGAAGTTGACGGTGTTCAGAACATGAGTCTCCAGGATGGCATTGCGGAACTGGGTCTCGTCCATGGAAGGGCTCATCTTGTCTTTTCCTTGCTCAACGGGAAGCAGAGAAGCCGATAAATCGGTCTCCATGTTGTATCGGCCCTGTCCACTGGGATATCCACCAGAGCGTGCCAATGTCCGATTAATACTATCGATTTGGAAGATAGTTGCGGTTGAAAGGTCGTGATTTTCTGTTTCAAAGTCGATTGCGGGTGGGAGTAGGTGTGGAAGCACTTGAAGTTTTGCGCTGACGGCTTGGGGTAAGGAGTGATGGGCAAGCTTGAGAACCTCCGTCAATAGCAGAGTTGCTTTACGTCTGAGAGAGAGATCCGCTTCGTCCTCAATGACGTCGGAGAGAACCTGCACTTGGTCAGCTCTTGCAGTAAGCCAGGCCTAGAAAAAAAGAATGCATACCTTTGGGAGCCCTGCCTCGACCAATCCGGCCAATATGAGGGTAGAGAAATGAGCCGTCAGATCGAATCTGTTGCTATTAGTGTCGCTGAAAGCGCGGCTGGCTCTCGTTTCGACATCAGAGCGAAGATTCGAGACTCTGCCATAAGTTGTGAGTCGTCTGCCTGCAAGGAAAGATGACGACCAGGAGGGAGGCTTTATTCGCAGAGCGTCGAATAAAAGCTCCATAATGAGGTCTCGAGCTATAGGATCATTGTAATGAAGAGAATCAAGGAGAGAACGCAACGGTTGTGAGTCATGTCTTGCAAGAATGACCAGCCCGGGCCAAGTCTTTAGCATCGCAGAAATTGCCCGCGCTGCAGACTTTAATCGCCCATTGCGTAGTGTATCGGATAGTGAATCCGTGAAAGGCGTAAGAACAGCTTCAAGTTCAGATCCTTGGAGAAACTTTCGACTACGGGGGGTGTCCACAACATGTAAGAAACTTGATATCAGAGACTCCGAAGCTCCGAACGTCCCTTCTGCGAGCGCGTCATGCAGAGCAGCAAATCCACCGGCAGAAGCAACCAGCTCTGGATCTTTGACTAACATCTCAGCCAGGGTCATGATTGAAATGTTCCGAAGACGATCTTCATGATGTTCGGCAACAGCAACGATGGTCCGCGCAACGGCGCGTGATATCTCTCGGACACCGTCTTTGACATCCAGGAAGCCTCTCACAAACTTCAATGCCTGTTCCCTTTCAATGCTTGCCTTGGTTTCTTTAACCAGGGACAAGATCACGAGCTCATCGGTATGGAGTGTTCGAATGATTTGTAGGGATTTACGATCAGCGATGGCATAGCGTGTTAGTCGATAACCCGCAGCTACCACCTCTTTACTGTCACTCAAAAGCATGACCTGAACTCGTAGGCCAAAAACAGGCCATGCGAGGTCATACTTCAATGTGGGGTGCCGTTTAAACAATTCAACCAAGCTGTTGGCGCGCTCGACATAGAAATCAGGAGACATGTCCTCTATCTCCAACGCCTGCAGCGTTTCCGAGAGGACGTAGGTTGGCGACTCCACGTCACCGTCACCACCTTCTTCCCCATCACCGTTGACCGATCCGATGGCATCGTTGTTTCGAGATGGCGAGCGCATGGGACTAGCTCGGAAAAGGCTGGAAAGGCGGCTGCTGCGTGGGGGAGTCGAGGCCGGCGCCTGCGCACGTAATATTTCTTCTTCCAGCTCATGCTGCAATTCGACCAGCTTGCGATTCGACGAGCTCAATTCAGATTCCACCTTGAGACGCTGCTCTTTGGTTTGCTTTGGTGGTTTTGATAGCAGCGCCTCCAGCATATTCTCGGTTCCACTCTTGATCTTCAGTTCCTTCGCGATCCTGTCTCGAAGGAAAGCCTGTCGCTCCTCGGTTGTGTGACAATATTCCTCGCCGATCGATTTGCTGGCACGTCTGTTGTATTGGCCGTCCGGTCGGGGCGTGACACTGCGTGAAGTCGAGCTTTTGAGCTCCGTACTAAAGCTACCTTGTCCACCAATGGAGGGTGCCAACGAGGGAGCTAATGAGGGCACCAATGAGCCTCCTCGTCCGCCCATGTTACTGCTCCCTCCAGACTCGGACCGCCTGTTCCTCCCCATTCTTGAGATACCATCCTGCCAGCTCCCATCGGCGGAGCCATCCTGACTGAGCGAGGAGCGTCCATCACCCAGTGCACGATGCTGCGTCGACGCGGAGTATGCTGAGTTGTGCCCGGAAGCCATAGAGCTCCATCTAGCCTTGCTGGCTTCGCTATCATCTATCGCAGGTCTTCTGATTATCTGATGGCTGCATTGAGGTCGCTTGTATTAGCGGGAGGGTCGAGCGGAGCGGAGCAAGGGCAGTATGGGGAAGCGTAAGGGAGGGGCGCAGTCACAGGGTCGCTTGATGATCAAAGGGAGATAGTGGCCATGTCCACCTGTCAGAATAGGGTGATCAAATGTTAACCTGAACAATAGTAATCGTCAAACTGCTGTCCCACGAGATACTCGATTCAACCACCTGGGCAGTTCTCCAAGGTTGGAGAAACAAACCGCTGACTAAGAAGTCTTATCGCTCCACCCTAGAGCTTTGCCACACCATGCCATGTGAAGAGCA